AGTTTGGATTCACATTCCCCTAATGACTAATGACATTGAACTTCTTTCTTTTCATGTACTTATTGGCCATTTGTTTATCTTCTTTGTTGAAATGTCGATTCAAGTTCTTTGCCCATTTTTTTTTTAAACTGTGCTTTAGATGAAGGTTTACAGAGCAAATTAGTTTCTCATTAAACAGTTGGTACACATATTGATTTGTGACATTGGTTGCCAACCCCACGACATGTCAACACTCTCCCCTTCTCAACCTTGGGTTCCCCATTGCCAGCTTTCCTGTTCCCTCCTGCCTTCTTGTCCTTGTCCCTGGGCTGGTGTACTCATTTAGTCTTGTTTTGTTTTATGGGCCTGTCTAATCTTTGGCTGAAGGGTGGACCTCAGGAATGACTTCAGTACTGGGTTAAAAGGGCGTCTGGGGGCCATACTCTTGGAGTTTCTCCAGTGTCTGTCAGACAAGTAAGTCTGGTCTTTTTTGTGAGTTAGAATTTTGTTCTACATTTTTCTGCAGCTCTGTCTGGGACCCTCTATTGTGATCCTTGTCAGAGAAGTTGGTGGTGGTAGCTGGGCACCATATAGTTGTGCTGGACTCAGTCTGGTGGAGGCTGTGGTAGTTGTGGTCCACTAGTCCTTTGGACTAATCTTTCCCTTGTGTTTTTGGTTTTCTTCATTCTCCCTTGCTCCAGGTGGGATGAGACCGGTGGAGTATCTTAGATGGCCGCTCACAAGCTTTTAAGATACCAGGTGATACTCATCAAAGTAGGATGTAGAACATTTTCTTTATAAACTATGTTATGCCAATTGAACTAGATGTTCCCCGAGACCATGGTCTCCAACCCTCAGCCCAGTAATTTGGTCCCTCAGGGAGTTTGGATGTGTCTATGAAGCTTCCATGACCTTGTCTTGGTCAAGCTGTTTTTACTCCATTTTTTAATTGACTTGTCTTTTTGTTGTTGCGTTGTAGGAGTTATTTTCATATTCTGGATATTGAACTCTTATCCTAAATATTTTCTCTCAGTGTGGAGGTTGTCTCTTAATTTCCTTGATAAGGCCCTTTGATCACTAAAATTTTTCATTTTGATGAAGTCCAATTTATCTATTTCATTTTTTGTTGCTTGTGCTTTGGTGCCGTATCTAAGAATCCATTGTCAAAAACAAGGTCTTAAACTTATACCCGTTTTCTACTGGGTGTTACGTGTTACCTCATTGTGATTTTTATTTTCATTTCCCTAATGTCTAATGAGGAGCCCTGGTGGCGCAGAAGTTAAGAGCTCAGCTGCTAACCTAAAGGTCGGCAGTTTGAGTCCCCTAGCCATTCCTTGGAAACCCTATGGGGCAGTTCTACTCTGTCCTATAGGGTCACTATGAGTCGGAATCGACTGGACGGCAATGGGCAATGGCCAGTGTCTAATGATGTTAAACATCTTTGCATATGCTTGTTGGCCATTTATGTACTTTTAGAGAAATGTCTACTCAAGTCAAGAAAATCATTTTTAAGAGTTTCAATCTCCACATCTTCCTGAGCCATACTTTGTCTTTCTTTCAATGCTTTGACACGACATTTTGTTTTTATGTATTCACTAGAAATTTTTATTGCAACTATAACTTTCTAGCAAATCCTGTTTTTGACAGGGCTTTTAGAAGCAGTCTTGCAATTTTTCTAGGCTTCATTCATTTCACACGATGGCAGCAATTGTTAAAATATACTTAGATTCCATTAGCGTACATTCTGCTATCACATTGGAATCTCTTAAGAATCTTATTATGCTCATCATCTAACATTACAGAGCAGAGTTTCTGGTGCTCAGCAGAGTGGAACCATCAGTAAGAACCTTTAGGTGGTGCTCTTTGGTTAAAAACATTTATCCCTCAAACAATTTAAATACAGTCTTATATCCTGAGAAGAAATTGGCTTTCAGTTTTTTTTTTTTAGGGACTATATCCCAGCTCTGCTCAGAACTTTTTTTCATACCATTTTTAAAAAGAATATTTTTATTGTGCTTTTGCTGAAAGTTTACACAGCAAATTAGGTTCCCATTTGACAATTTCTACACAAATTGTTTAGTAACATTAGTTACATTTTTCACAATGGGTCAACATTCTCTTTAATTGCATTTCTGGTTGTTCCATTTCCAGTACTCTAGTTTCCCTGCCCCTTTATCTTCTCATCTTTGCTTTAGAGTAATTGTTGATCTTTTGGTCTCATGTAGCTGGTTTTTTAATGGAGCACTTGTACTCACAGGTGCCAATATTCATTATTTTGTGTATCAATCTGTTATTTCACTAAGCGGTGACCTTGAGGAATAGTTTGGATTTAAGGTTTAAAGAGTATCTCAGGGTGATAGTCTCAGGGAGTCCTCTGGTCGCAACTGGTCCAGTACATCTGGACTTTTTAAGAAGTTGAGTTCTGTTGTGCATTTTTCTAACCTTTTATCAGGGTCTATCTATTGTGACACTGATCATACCATTTCTGTTCCAGAGATTAATAATCTTCCCTGTCTTCCCCCCTCCCCATGTCCAAAGGGCTGCATGATATAGACATTCTACTCCAGAAACAAGCTTTCAGTTGTGGACTAGCAGTGATTTTAACCTTAATTTAAAATGCACCTCCAAACTGATAACTCTCTCATCACCTGCTGCTAATTAACCACCCCCTGAAAGTCTCCTTATTTCAGTCCTACAGAGAACCTCCTTCTGAAGGCCTAGTAGGGCCATGGCTTCCCTTATTGTCAAGGAACTAACTACCTGACCTGCAGCCAGGTCATGAGACTCAGCCCTCCCCCAGCCTCCCACCTCAGGCCTCCCCTCTCCTCCTTACCCACTCTCTTTCCCTTCAGCTAATTCCCCTTTGTTCATTTTTCTGCCAACTATTCATCAGATATTTATAAACTATCCATACACCTTCTAGCCCCTACACTTGGCCAAGAGTTACTCCTTTCTAATTGCTCTTATTCTGGCTCCAAAGAGTGGAGGTCATTTGGAAGAATTGTCCCTTGTCTAAGCTTACTAACATGAACCCTCACTGGAGCAGAAGTGATCTCACCAACTATAAAGCCATACCCTCTGCCTTTACAGTCAGCACCATCCAAAGTCTATCTGTTCCCAGTCAATTCTCCTCCAACCCTTAATGCCCCGTCCGTAACTTTATTTCTACCACCAAAGGACTTCTAAGTTCCTTCAGAAAACTTGCAGGCCTAGATTCTTCTGTCATATGCCAAAACAAAACCAAAGTTGTTGCCATCCAGTTGATTCTGGCTCATAGTGACCCCATGTGTTACAGAGCAGAACCGCTCCATAGGGTTTCCAAGGCTGTGACCTTTCAGAAGCAGATTGCCAGGTCTTTCTTCTATGGCACACCTGGGTGGGTTCAAACCACCAACCTTTAGCTTAGTAGTCCAGTGCAAACCATTTGCACCACCCCATTCTAAAAAAAAAAAAAAAAAGCAACAGTCAAAATAACTTAACTTAAAACATCTTTTAAAAGATCATACTTTCCCAAGATTTTACTAAAGCATTTATTTTTTAAAAATATACATTAAATCTCAGATTTACAGAATACAGAAATAATTTATCCAAAGCAATTTGCCTTTTAAAATTGTTAATATTGCACCCAACAGTATGAGGCTTTGACACATTTACATGGCCAACCTTTCCCCCAATTAGCAGAACAGGGAAGAAATCTGAAATTGACAGAATGACACAAGCTAGCTTTTCCTTAAAAAAAAAAACTTATAATTCTTTCTATTTACAAGATAGAGAAAAGTTGTAAACTTTCAGAAATTTATTTCCATAGAGTAAAAAGGCATACATTCTTTGATCATACCTAAAAAATGAACTAGATACACACTGTGATTTCCTCATAGGAATTCAAAGGGACAGACACTGTGAGGGTTTGCAGCCCAATGGTGAAGAAAACAACTATTGAGAACACTTTTACACCTGCACTAGGACATGGAAGTCAGTGTGTGAACCCTGTAGAATGACAAAAGCCTCTGGAAAAAATAACTTTTTACCTCTTTGAGGATGGTTTCCATAGTTACTCTTCAATTTCAAAAGGATACACTAGTGTTACTCGGTCTTAGAAATGTGGTTACCAACAACCTTTTCTCTCAAGATATAAAACACGTGAAAAAGAATGAGGTCTCTGTTCAATTCCCTTATAAAATACTTTACATACAGGCAGGCACAAAAGTTTGCTTTCCAAAAGAAAGCTTTGCAAAATATTCTGCAGTTCATCACTGATATCCTCAGTTTTTAAAAACAGTTGTTTTAAAAGCCCCTAAATATTTAAATGTGTTTTTTAAAGACAGTGGGGAATAAAATCACTTGCTAGTACAGGTACTACAGGAAGTTGCTGAAATAATATCTGGCCGTCAGAGTAAAGTTTATAATGTGCTGTTTTAACCTGGTAATAAACAGAAACAGATTGAAACCTTACCCTTAACGAATTTGAAGTAATTTTTCTTGATTGAACTGAATTATTAAACCACTATGACAACATAAAACCATGAAGCCCATGATCAACACTGAAGAACTCACTGGATCATTAAGGGCTTGCAGGTGATCAACATTCATGAATTGTTCATTATTACCATTAAAAATAAAAATCTTAGTGAACAAGATGGCCTATAGGAAAAAAGGAGCCTCTTGGAAATTCATGCTGAAGATCACAGACAGGAAAATTATAACGTTATACTGCCATTCCATTTGAATGGAAAACGAAGACGTTTTCTAATTCTGTTGTCCTGGATTGAGACTGGCTTATAAGGTTCCCTTTGGATCAGAATGAACATAAACAGGTGAATAACAGGACTTTTAAAAAAGGTATCCTCGGCTTTGCTATTGCTTAATAGTCCAATCCAAGTAGTTGATTTTATAAAGGTTATTGTCTTCAGCATCCTTGTGACAAATTCATTAAAAAAAAAAGTCCTGAGAGTCTTTCAATAAAAAAATATACATTTCCTTCGTGTAACTGTTTCACTAAAGGTGGTTTTGAGGCGAATTCTTCAGCTCTCCACAGTTCGCCTGTATTCTGCAGTCCCATCCGCTATTATTGCGTCCAGTGGGGACCGCTTCTTGCGGATGCTGCGCCCTGAGGAGATGAGGTCCGCGTAGCCCCGCTGGTGCGAGAAGGCATAGGCAGAACGCCGCGAGGACACTCCCCTGCGGAACACTTTGTGCCGGCTCTTCCACTGCTCCTCGGCCTTTAACCGCTTGCGGTGCTTGTGGATCTGTCAAAGGCAGAAAGGCAGGTACAGGCTAAAAATAACTGGATGACTGAATGAAAGTAAAGGTCTGTGACAGAGAGGAAGCCTGGCCAAAAGGAGGTGGAAAGGATCTAAGGTTGATGGAGTACCTGCACCAGGCTCTCCCCACATCTGTTTCATTTTGAGGCCACTGTCACCATCCCTCGAATCCCTGTTTGGTGCAAGCTGTTAATGGGCTAGGCTACTAACCAAAAGGTTGGAAGTTCAAGTCCACCCAGAGGCGCCTCGAAAGAAAGGCCTGGCGATCTACTTCTTAAAAATCTGCCACTGAAAACCCTATGAAGCATTTCCACTTTTACACACACGGAATAGCCATGAGTGGGAACTGACTCAATGGCAACTGGTTTTTGGTTATCACTATCCCTACTTTATAGATGAGGACATTGAGAGATAAGAGGGGATAAGTCACTTTTCCAAGGTTACAGAGCTAGAACATGGCAAGCCAAAATCCCCTCTCCTTCTAAGCTAGTGCTCCTTCCAATTTACCAGGCAGACTAGTATAAGATATAACTAAAGAGAAAACTCTATCTTTCTTTTCCTTATTGCTACTTGTGTATTCTTGTCACTGGGAAAGGGAGATCTTGGGGCTCCTGAAGGTTGCCTACCTACCATCTACTCTTGCTTTCGAAAGAAACTGATTTTCATACACCAAATGGAGTCACTAGAGGGTGCAAATGGGGTTAAGTACTCGACTCTAGCCAAAAGGCTGAAGGTTCGAACCTACCCAGAAGCAACTCAGAAGAGAAGCCCGACAATCTGCTTCCGAAAGGTCACAGTCTTGAAAAACCTATAGTGAGCTCTACTCTGTACACGTGGGGTCACCAAGAGTTGGAATTAACTCAATGGCAACTAACAACACAACTACCTTTCTTCTAGGAAGCAGAGGCCATTCCCAGGGGTGGGATGGATTGGTTTCTCTTGCCAGGTTAAGTGCTTGGCTCTTCACCTAAAGGTTGGTGGTTTGAATCCTATGGGGCAGTTCTACTTTGTCCTATAGGGTCGCTATGAGTCAGAATTGTCTAAACAGCAATGAATTAGGTACTAGGCTAGGAATGGGCATGTGATAGAAAATTCTGGCTAATGAGACGTGAGGAAAGTGTGCTTGGGGCCCTTCTGTGACAAGTTCTGAGGCTCCCAAGGGAAAGCTACAGACCAGTCAGTCTCTTGTCTTTCCCTGGATATTGACATGCCAGGATGTGATACTAGAAACTACTGACGCCATCTTGCTTCCAGCTTCAAGGTGAAGCTAATAGTGAAGATGGCAGAGGGGAGAGATGCAAACAACCTGAGTCCTTTTTGACAATATTAAATCAACTGAGTCTGAAGTCTGTTAGTTGTTATGTGAGCTGAGGTGATACATTGTTTATTATTGAGCCATTCTGAGTTATGGCTTTCTGTTATACCTACTATACTTATACCTAACAGGATCCTACTATAGGAGGTGACATTTTTCTTTAGATAAAGAAAAAACTCCAACCTATTTGCATGGCAAAATGTTAATACTATAATTGTTAAGTTGAGGGGATAGATTATATGGCAGTTCATTATCCTGTTCTCTCTTTTTGTTTACATTTGATAACTTTCAAAATAAAAAGATAACCCTAATCCCAAAGACCTATTTGTAAAACAGAGTTAAAGAAAGAGAAGTAGGTGTAAGAAACATTCTACTACACGTCCCATGAGCTTACAATTTTGCAGGAAAGCTGCTCTTGGGAAATGCTTTGGTTTCTGTGTAGGACACTCAGAGTTGGGGAAGACTGACTTTCTATATACCTTATCACTTTCTGATGGCCAAATTGTCATTGACAAGAAACGTATGGCAATGACGGGCAGTAAGCACACCGCAACAGTCAAGATGATGGTCAACCAGATATACGGCTGTCTCAGAGCATTTGCAGCAGTACCTGCAAAGGACATGAAGAATGAGTAACAGCAGTCCTTTAAGCCTAAGGGCGTAGTTAATATTCCATAATCCATAAGTAGACTATGATAAAGTGTTACAACCACATTGGCCTTCCCAAAACACCCCATCACTGCTCAAGGAATGAACATTTTAAAATCCAACTAAGCAAAGCAAAATTAGGAAGGTAAACTCTTTAGAACAAGGCAGGTGTACACAATCAAAAAAATAAGGAAAAAAGAAAGTATGTTCACATTGCATTGATTAAAAATGCAAAACCGGGCAAATCTGTATCTCTATTTTTTTTCAGGAATTTAAAAAGTACTTTATAGTTTTAATTTGAAACTCTAAAATATTAATAATAGCTGCCACCACTATTTGTGTGCTAGGCCTCAGACTTGGTTATTTTATACGGATCAGGTGATTTAATCAACTCTGACAGGTGGGTATAATTCTGTTTGCCGCATAAGGAAATCGAGTCTTGGAGAAGTTAAGAAATTCGCCTAAGGTAATAGAACTAGCATAGCAACCCTGGAATTAAAACCCATGTCCCTCTGACTAGCACCCCAGCTTTCTCCAACACAATTCAGCTGCTAGAAAGTAATAGTTCAATTTTATAATACAATTAGGCAACCAAATATATTATCCAATTTAAAATTTGTCATTAACATCTTCTATAACCAAACTTATCAGAATGTTTTATGTACTTACACTATAAGTTTATAGAAATAATGGCTTTTATTTTTTAAATGTGGTCTTTATAGTGCTAAATGTGTATGTATTTAACAATAGTTCCTGTGGGAATATTCTAAGGCCCTGGGTGCTAAATTCTAAAAACAGTCAATAAAGAAAAACACAATCATTAAAAAAAAAAAAAAATTGTTCCATCCCAAGAAGAAAAGGGATACCATAGCAAGTGTTTTTACAACCTACCACTGGTCATTAAAAAAAAACTAATTTTTTTTACAGGGAAACTAGTTTATGGGGAGTCTTCTCCTTATGAATCCAAGCTACTCTATTCAAAATAGGAAGCTCATAAATTCCAAATATTTCTATCAGTTCAAATTGACTTCTGGCATTTGTCACTATGTCATATAGTTTATACAGCAGTAGTCACTGGTCACAGAACTATTTTGTTTCCTATCAGTTTACTTATTACTTCACATACTTATTTCCAATGATAAAACCCACTTTAGAGTTCTAGAATTCCATTGTATTGATATTTCATAGTTTGATTAGCTAATTTAATATTCTTAGGTCTTTCAGTTGTTTCCTTTCTAAACAATTACAAATCTTGTGGTGGTAGAATTGTACAAATTACCTTTTCAAAATGTGGTGTGTTTAGTCTTAGGATATTATGTTTTCCACAAGTGGAAATATTGGGTCAAAAGGTATGAAGAGTTTATAGTTCATTATTATTTCCAGATTATGTTTAGGAAAGATTAAGATGAATGTATACTTAATTTCCCAATTACGTATCAATGTAAGTTTTATGGGGGAAAAATATTTTGTCTAATTTAACAGATGCAAAATTATATCTTAAAGTTATTTTAACTTGCTTTCCTCCCACCACGTTACTACCCTTCCAACCCACCATCACCACTCAATTTCCAATCAGGACACTAATTTTCATTAGCAATAATTTACACTTTTTGTATTTTTTATTTATTCAGAAGTTAAGTCAAAATCTACACTAATGACATTTTCCTGTACATTTAGTTTTGGAATTTAGAAAATACTAACCTGTAAATTGAAATGCAGATGGTAAGATAACATGTATTCCAGCACTATGGAAGTCAAACATGATGCCAAAATAAAGTGCAATGCTTCCAAAGATTGAAAAAGCATTCACAAAAGTCCAGTAAGACGTATCCAAGCCAATCTGTTGGGAAATCAGAGAAAAATAGAGCACTCATTTTGGGGAGCTGGCAAGGAATAAAGGATCTAAGAATTCTGAAAACAGAATTTAGCAATTTAGGCATGATTTGGCTTGAATACTGAACAATCAGAAACTATCATTGGCTTAGGCAAGAAAAAGGAAACGTGCTTGGTAAAAAGGATGAAAATAGCACTCATATTTGGTAAAGTGGCAGAGGAAAGAGTGAAAGTTGGAGGGAAACGGGGAGTCAGACTAGCCTATGTGCAGAAACACAGGTGCCAAAAGATACTGAGTACGATCTACTAAAACCATGTACCTGGAAATTCACGGTCATGACAAGAGCAGAGGCAATTGTGACAGCAAAAGACTGGTAGTCTGAAGGGGCCTCTCCGTCCTGTCCCATCGTTTGCAGGTAAGCTCCAAAAGGGATGAAGAAGAGGATCATCGATGTTAAGGCCCCATGCAACAAGCTTACGAAGAACCTCTTATAGTTAAATAGTAAGTCTCTTTGTCCCACAACATATAACCCAGGGAATCGGAGGCTCAGTTTGTCACTCACATCCTTAAAAGGAAAACAAAATTAGAGTTGTGTATCATTAAGCAGGCTTAGGTACAGAGATACAGGACCATTTATATCTTACAAAGAGATTCAACTTGCAGTTAAATTTTAGGAAGGCAAAACCTGAACAAGATGATAAACCCTGCAATATTTTCAGAGTGTAGAGATCAGCTTCATTACTTTATTCCACAATTATTTGATATTTAATTCAGAGAGGGGCTAGGGAAACGCTTATTATTTTGCTATATATGGAAAGAAAACAAATTAGTAATGGCAGATAAAATGTAGGGAGATTATGTTTACTTCCAAAGAATACATACTGTTTTAAATTCTTCGGGAAAATATTTTTACATACAAGTTGATGAGTTAATTCCAAAATTATTCTTTTTATTCATTGAAAAGCCCTTTCTCTAAGAATTGCTATTAGATAAAATGTAGACTAATTTGGGAATTAAACACATAAACTTTGGAAAGTGTTAAAATAATTTACTTTAAAAATGAATTAACTTAAAATGGAACAACCAGAATGGAAATAATGAGAATGTTCATGCATTGTGAAGAATGTAACCAATGTCACTGAAGAGCTTGTGTAGAAATTGTTGACTGGGACCCTAAACTGCTGTGTCAACCTTCACTGAAAACACAATAAAATAGTATTTTTTTTAAAAATGAGTAAGTCATTATTATAGAGAAATACCATACTGTAAAGTGTCTTAATAATAAAGTCTTGGTGTCCTAAGGGAAGATAATAAACTCTTTTGTCAATGAATTCAACACAGTTCCAGAAATCCCCCTTTTTTTTTTTTTACTATAAAACAAGAAGCACAGCAGTTACCCTTGTTGCCTGACAAGGAAATTATAATGGGCTTTACTCAAAAAGAAGTAAAAACCAAAAGAATGCATTGAAGTATTTGCTTTTAACGTCTCTAAGTGGCCATCAGTCCATCCAAGTGTGTCCCTCTCTGAATGAGGCTCCCACCTGATCGAGGAGGCCCATGAGGAGGACGGGCAGGCTGGAGTAGAGCACATTGTAGAGGGTGATGAACCAGTCCTCATACGCCGCCTGTCGGGGGAGGACACAGAGTCTGTCACCAACAAAGAAATGCTGTCAAAGCATGACCCCCAGACTCTCTGTCAACTCAGAACTAAAACCATTACTGAGGCCAACTCTTCAGACAAAGTTTAGACTGGACTATGGGACATAAAATGATACTTATGAAGAATGTGCTTCTTAGGTCAAGTAGATATATGAGACTAAATGGGCAGCTCCCGTCCGGAGGTGAGATGAGAAGGCAGAGAGGGTCAGGAACTAGTCGAATGGACACAAGAAATCAGAGGTGGAAAGGAGAACTGTGCTGTCACAGTACGGGGAGAGCAATTAGGGTCACATAATAATGTATGTATACATTTTTGTATGAGAGACTAACTTGAATTGTAAACTTTCACTTAAAGTACAATAAAATTAAAAAAAAAAAATGCTGTCAGCCTCATTGACACACGCTTATCTGCTTCCTCAGAGAAAAGTTATAAGCCTGCAGGGATTCCCCAGCCCAAATGGAGACTTCTATTGCCAGGGCAAACATCCATCACCTATACCTGTAGAAGATATAAGTCCGTTTCTATGGAAAGGACAGAACAAAAGACCATTCCACAGAAATGAATTTTCCCTCAAAGGAAGTGAGCAACACACTCCAAAAGTTGTTGGTTTTACCAATTGCTGTGCAGTCAATTCCAACTTATGGAGACCCCATGTGTGTCAGAATAGAATTGTGCCCAATAGGGTTTTCAATGGCTGATTTTTTTAAAGTAAATCACCAGGGCTTTTTTCCAAAAGTTGTCAAATATTTTATTTGAATATGGCTGGAAAACACGTTAGTGTTCATCATTTTATATTCCTTTATTAACAAATTAAACAAAAACAAACAAAAAAACCTGCTGCCGTTGAGTCGATTCTGACTCATAGCAACCCTAGAGGACAGAGTGGAACTGCCATACAGGAATTCCAAGGAGCAGCTGGTGGATTCGAACCGCTGACCTATTGGTTAGCAGCCTTAACACTTAACCACTGTGCCACCAGCACTCCTATTAACAAATCAGAATTCATAAAATAAAAAACTGGTTCAAAATCAAGTCTCATTCAAATTTTCTTTACTTCTATTTTGCAAGTCCAGCATTTCCATTAAAACACTTGTAAAGCAGAATTTGACTGATTCTAAAATAATATATTTCTGAAGAGATGAGCAGGCAGTGTGCACATACCATTGCAGTGGGTGGTACAAGAGGAAATGAGCTTTCTCAGGACCAACAGTTATACACAGTCCTGTACAGAAACAGGAGGAGAATCGTCCCTAATTAAGGTCTCCACTGGCCCTCAGTTTCTGAGGATCCTCTGACACCATTCGTCTACAATATAGCATCAAGGAAGTTTGGGCAACCAAAGGCACTGACTTAGGTCTGTTTTTTAATTAATGATATTTTTCTCCTACAGCACCATTTTAACATATTAGATACATCCTCCACTCCCATTTCAGCAAAACACAAAACACAAAACAACAACCGAGATATAATAATAGATCTGTGATTCTCCAAAATGTATATAATCTCTTTAGCCTTGGTCACAATATAATTTTATATTTTCCAAGCTGAATAATGTATTATTACTATTCTTAATGGTAAAGTAAAGTGTGGGGGAAAAAAAACTAAGGTGGAGACACAGACACCTAAATAAATTCCCCCTTTCTGAATGCAAAATAAAATATTGCTAACGCACCAGAAACAATTTAGAAAAATATTCCATAATCTTAATTAATCCATGCCCCAACCATAAGACGATACAGCACCAAAACTGCAATATAGAGAAGAAACAAATTTATTTTTTCAGATCTAACAGTTTTATTAAGAAATGAGCTTTACTCATTAAAAAAAAAAAAAAAAAAGTTCTATTACCTGTGCAGAATACCCATTGAAGAAGGAGTACCAGAGGTGAACCAAAGTAAATGCAAAGTTTTTATAAAAGAAGTATCGTAGGAACTTGCACATTCTGATGTAAGACCACCGACCATGTACCAACAATAATCTCTGCAGGTATCTGAACTGAGCAAAGGAAAAGTCACTCGACATGACAGCCTGCATGCCTTCTTGTCCACTTATTCCAACACCGATGTGGGCAGCTATTGGGCAGAGGGAGAAGATACTGTGAATCATAAGCCTATTTTTAAGAGAAAACATCGAGATAATAAAAATATTTCAACAGCAAATCAAAAACAAAGACAGATTTTCATGGAACAATAAATACAAAGGCTCTTGCTCACAGTCCCACACCTCCAGCTTCTGAACTCAACTCAAAGTCACAGGTACAACTTGCTAAACAGAGCACACGGTAGGAACTCCCTAAATATTTGTGAAAGGATCTCATGTGGGTGGTGAATTCCATTTGGATTATCTGCCCAGGCTGCAAGCCATCCTTCCCTTTCACAGGGTGAGCCCCAGGCACCTATGTTTACACTGTGTGTCCTTGCCTGCCTAGCCACAGCCAAGTCAACCATGGGCAGATATTACAAATTGGGTCTCTCAACCACAATTCCACGTTTGTTCTAATTGGAGAGGTTGAGAAGCAAATTTAAAACCCCACACTTCCCAGACTCCCTTGCAGCTAGGTTGCCTTTGTGAATCGGTTCCACCACTTGGGCACACTTACAAGTGGTTTAGAATGGAAAAGTGAATCAGAGCCCAGCATTCCTTCCCTTCTCTTCTTGGCAGTTTCTACAGCAGAATTCATATCCATTCCCCAGCCTGCTGGATGTTGATGGGCAAATGCAAAGTCTTCTCAACTGAGACGTTCTTCAGAGGACCCTCAAAGGTAGAAGCTCCTCTGAAGAATGACCCAAAGCTTAGAAACACACTCAGCCTAGACCTTTTTTCAATCTACCCAGACCTTATAAGCACCCAATTCCCTGTATTAAATAACTTCTTACTTAAAATACCTAGAGTGGTCTGTTTCCTGACCTAAACCCTAATTGACAGAAAACCCAAGGTGGGCAAATCTGTCTTTTTCTTGGCATTTGGAAATTAGGATTCAGGTAGTGAGTTAGTGTGTGTGTAATACTAATACACAAATTTTGAGCTATGAGTCAGATAAATTTATTTCTGAGGGATTTTGAGGGGCAGAGAAATAAAGTAGTCTAGAGAAAGAGAGAGACAGACAGACAGATAGACTCTGGATTCCTGGTGCAGTTCCAGCATTTTCTTGAGGCCTGGCCTCTTGGGTGTCATTAGACATCTATGTAACTTTATTATAAATTCCTTCTTTTCTTAAGGTAGCTTTAGTTGTTCTCTGATACTTGTAATCAAGAAAGTTTTAACTAAGACACTATTAAACTTTCCAAGGCTTATTCATGGCCCACCCATGACCTTAAGACACACAATTTTTTGGGCAAAAGTTTTCTAGAATGGATTAAAAAAAAGTCACAATCTGATTCATTCTTCTAATAGTCATTAAATAACCTTTTCACATTAGTGAATTAAAATTTTATGTAGGTCTTGAAAGCCACAAAAGCAAAGACAGATACTGAGATAAATTAGGAAAAAACATGTTAGAAAACACAACCTATTATTACTCAGCCCCGGAGAAGTGATTGCCAACTCAGCAGAGTCACTGACTAAAGGAAGCTTCAAAAGCCCTGCCCGAGTTGCAGAACACAAGGTTTGGCAAATTCAGGGATAACTTAAGTAACCTGTCCAAACCTAAAAGTTTTCAACAACACGTTGCAGTTCTAAAAAATAAAATGTATCTCATTCAATAATGATGTCTCCTTTCAAAACATACAAACAGTCCTTATGACCATTTGTGGTTGCCAGACTGCTCTTACCTCCCAAACCACAGCCTTCTTTTTTCTGAACATGCAGCAGAAGGAAGGGTTGAGATTCTGTCTTGGCTGTTGGGCTATGGAAGAAGAGCCCTTGCCATAGGCACTGGCATGCAGCCTAAACTTTCCACTGAGCAGACCAAGGAAAATATGTGAAATGAACACTGTCACAGTTCACTGGGTAATTAAAGGCAACTGAACAGATGATCTATAAAGCATCATGGTCCTTCTCCAAAATCTAAATATAGGCACCTAGATTTTCTTGAAGTTCCAAATGTGAACTCAAATGCCTCATTGCTAGGCCCCAATTAACCAGTTGCCGTCGAGTCAATGATGACTGATGGCAATCCCATGTGTGTCAGGGTAGAACTGTGCTCCATGGGGTTTTCAATGGCTGATTTTTTAGAAGTAGCTCACCAGGCTTTTCTTCCAAGGTGCCTCTGGGTGGACTTGAACCACCAACCTTTCGGTTGGTAGCTGAGTCACCCAAGTGACTTTTCACTGCTAGGTACACCATCACAGTTCCCTAAAAAAACAATCATTTCCTCAAGTCCTTTCGCCTTTATCTCATCTTCTTCCTGCTACATGTATGTTTTCAGAGTCTCAGACCAAGAAGAGACCACACCTACCCAGCCCACAGACATTCTTAGGTGCAGGGAGAAGGCAGCCCATGAGCATCCTTGGATTCTTGTTAGGGGCAAATATATGGTCGGTTGCTTCGAACATCTTTGTGGGACTACGTAATAAACGTTCCTGCTATTTCTTTTCTTAAGTGATTCAGTTTCACTGGCCGTCTGTAGCAAGACTTACTTTTGTTTATAATTACTTTTGATCATATGCTAAACAGGAAACATGTCAGCAAATGGTAGGATTTTTTTTTTTTTGACACCTGACTTTACACTACACTTCTTTATGAATAACAATTTCTGTCTGTATATTGCTCTTGATGCAATCGAAAGAAATTAAACCTTTTACAAAGTGCAAAAAGGCACTAACATTACTTGAATAACCCTACTAACTTCCAAGGAGACCTCAGAATTTCCTTCATTTTCATTAAAAATGGATGCTCCACAAAAAACAAACAACAACAACCAGTTACCATTGAGTCGATTTTGGCTCATGACAACCCCGTGTGTTACAGAGTAGAACTACACTCTATAGTTTTTTCAAGGCTGTGATCTTTCAGAAGCAGATTGCCAGGCCTTTCTTCCGATGTGCCTCTGGGTTGGGTTCAAACCACTAACCTTTCAGTTAGTAGTCAAGGACTTAACTATTTGTGCCACCCAAGGACTCCTGGATGTTCCTTAAGTTAAAGCCTCTGTAAGGTTATCTATGATGAGTTTTCTTGATCCCTCTCACTGTTAACTGGTGAACTCAGAAGAATTTTAAGGCTAAAGTCAGATAATCAGATGGCAAATCTGCAAGACAATCCACCCCAGCATCTAGAAGTCTACATTCAAGTTGAAAAAAAAATAATGTTCAAGTTACTTATCCTTTTTAGCACAGCTAGTTATGTTAAAGGGTACATGATAGAAAATAAACTGTCGCTGGCTAAAGAGGAAAGAAATAGATCTAATTCTGAACAAGAAATGCCATTCGTATGGTAGGACAAGCACAGGCAAGGACAGTAAGGAGGAAGTACACTGCCAACAGAGACAGACACGCACGGATAAAAAAAGCAAGAAGCCATACGTCATGTAGTGGGCTCCCATTGAGGAAGATAAAGTTGGAATGTTCTTGGTATGTATCAAGGAAGAGGAGGAGGAGACTCTAAGAAAAGAAAGAGACAGGCCCATGAGTCACAAAATAGGCTGAATCAAAAGTATAGTAATACTTAACACATTTAAGTTACCAGAACAACTGGGCATGCATATATATGTATGTATATTCATATAATATTTCATCTTAATATCACAGAGCTGGAGGAGACAGCAGAGATAATTTTCTCATTTTCAGATGAGAAAACTGAGGCCTCAGAGGATAAGCTGCAAGTGACATGGCATTTTGGCAGTAGAATAAGGACAGTATTCAGGTCTCCCTAGTTGGGCATTTTCATTACAAGATACTCCCTTATAGTATAGGGGGAAAAAGGGACCAGGACTCAGCTGTGCAGATGAGAGTCCCGGTCTTGGTTCTGCATACTTTAATAACAGTGCAACTGTGTTTCTGCATGATTGGACTTGATCCTTTCATTTGTGGGTACCTCAGGTCCTCCATTTGGCAAAACATCCACTGGCAGTTTTCCAGGAAGATCAGAAGTAGGGTGAGACCACGTTGGAGTTGTGCTTCAGTGCCAAACGTGTTCCTCTAAACTCATACCAGGTCACCCACTGGTGAAGTTCCAACAGATTTACCAAACTCAAGAAGAAGGTGAGAGAGAATATATTCTCGAAACCAACACCAGGGAGAGTTCAACAATTTACGGTGAACTCAGCAGAATGGTTTCTTTTGCAAAACTTATTAAGTATCAGGATTTTTAATAAGCCTTAAGGAAATATGGAAGGAGAACCAACAAGAATGAAAGGAAAAAAAAGCCAAAATACATGTAAAAGAAGGAAAGAAACAAGGAACCCACCATATGGAATTAGTCTTCTACTTGGCACTCTATGAGTACCATTGCCATTTCTGCTTTCCTACTAGCTAGACTGTGAACCTCCTGAGGGTGGGTCACAGGCTTAGTCATCATGGTTAAGTGCCTCTTATTAAAACACTGAAACTCTATGCAATGACATCTGAGAAAACTTTCCCTAGAAACATTCCTGCCATTTCTTCTCTTTAGCAGTTCAGGTCTCACTGGCCGTCTGTACGAGACTCACTTTTGATCATGTTTACGTCATTGGCCCCGTCTCCGATGGCCAGAGTGATGGCTTTCTTGTACCTCTTCACCAGGTCCACCACCATGGCCTTCTGCTTGGGTGTGACACGGCAGCAGATGACAGCACTGCACTCACAGGCCAGGTCCACAAAGTTCTTCTGCCGCTGCTCTTTCTTAGCTTCAAGCCTTCTTTTACTTTGGGTCCGTACCCGTCTTTCCTCTTCTGTCCTGGGGAACTTCAGTTTCAGAATCTTACTTCTCTTTGCTTTTTTCTCTAGAAGAATTTCATTCTGTGAAGTCAGAGAAGGAAATGATTACCACCATTTTAATGTTTACATTAAGAAACCTTCCATTCCCAAAACTTCAATTATGTGAAGAATAACTATTGGGTTGGTTGTATCATTGATTATTTTGTTCTGATTATAGGCAGTCCTTGGGTTACAAATGTCCGACCTACTTAAAGTCTATCATATTAAAAATTCAAGATACGTACAATGGTTCGTAATAACAAATGGGTACTACTTTGCGACGTACATCAAAACATTATTATTATTATAAACTGTATTATTATGTTAAAGATGTTTTAGTGCATCTGGAAGTGTTTCTTTAATGTTTTTTATGCATAGAAAGGTACACTATATACTAAGACAAACATATGACTAACTGATGTTAGATACAAACCTATTTAACTGTTCAGACATACAAATACACCTTAAAGACAGACTTAGGAATGGAACTCATTCGTAATTTGGGGACTGTCTGTATCAAATATACTAAACTATAAAAATTTAGAAAATATGAAAATGTGCAAAGAAGAAAATTAAAATTACCCATTAATTGATAAGCAAAGGAAAACCAGTGTTATCAGTTTGGTATAATTCCTTTCATTTATATATAATACTAAGTTTCAAACTTGGGAAGCTGCACTTTCACTTATAGGGTAAGAGATTTTTCAGTTGGCAGTTAATATGTAACACCATCCAAAACTGGGCCATAATGAACTGCTTTAGTTTGAGACAAAGACACAGATAAGCTAAAGATACATACCAACCAAGAACCAGTGATGATTAAAGCACGGTTTCCACCAGGAGGGAAAAAAGGTTCGTTCACTGGGGGTGCAAATTTTGCATAGACTCCACATCTGTTCCTTTGGTTTTCCATTCTTGTGTGAAGAAGAGAACTGGGGAAAAACAAATTTAAGTGTTTAAAGTACACGAGCATAAACAGGCCCTTGACCATGAGATATTCTGACATGCAGTCAATTCCCATTATGTAAAGTAGTTATGTTATATAAAGTCACCGTGAACACTGAATTAGCAAATTCAGAACCACTGCACCTAGAGGAAACATAGGGTTAGGTTTCTCTGAGCCTCTGGTCACAGAATTTTTACCAACCGATCAGTACATAACCTTGTTATGTGTGTTTCTGCTTAACGAAGGAGTGATGGTTGCACAGTGGTTAAGCATTTGGCTGCTAACAGAAAGGTTGGTGGTTTGAACCCACCAGCCGCTCCATGGGAGAAAGATGTGGCAGTCCGCCTCCATAAAGATTACAGCCTTAGAAACCCTATTTATAGTTCTAAGTCTGTCCCATAGGGTTGCTGGAGCCCTGGTGGTATAGAGCTTGGCTGCTAACCAAAAGGTCAGCGGTTCGAATCCACTAGCTGCTCCTTGGAAACCCTATGGGGCAGTTCTCCTCTGTCCTATAGGGTTGCTGTGAGTTGGAATCAACTCAACGACAACGGGTTTAGTTTTGGTTATGGGGTCACTATCAGTTGGAATCGACTCAACTGCAATGGGTTTCTGCTTAAAGACACTTTATTTAATATACGCTGTTGATTCATTAACATCGAACTCATGGCCAACAGCATTCTAATGCACGCCTGAATGAAGTGTATTTAACACACTTGTTTTCTCTGTAAGGCACGTCGCAGCCTTCTTGTGGTTAGGAACAGTAGGCAGCACTTCAGTACTCTGCCTGGTGGCCATTTTAAACAGTCAAATCACCAAAAAAAAAAGCAAAAACCATGGCACTAAATAGGCTGCAAAGAGGACACTTGTTAGCAACATGAGAGCCAAAACAAGATGGCAGAGTGTCGCCTTGCTTGACCTCAGCTGGGAATGTGCACAACAGGTGACTCAAATTTTTCACTGCCCTGAACGAATGACTGGGAACGCACAGTGAGTACTGATTTGGGGGTTACAAATAAATTTCAGCAAGTAGGAAAATTCACAAATACAGAATCCATGAATAATAAGGATCAACTGTATAATCTTACTGTCTTGGTTCCTCCACCGTGGGGCACCATGTTCTTGGCACTTCATATTTTCCAAAGACAGCCAAAGGAGGAGGCAGTTGAAAATGTGCTCACAAGCAACAGAAGGAAGACAATCTTGATCTGAATTCTAATACACTGGGGCGAACCCTAGTTTACATGTTTGGCAGAAAAGTTCTTTCTGTTTTCTATCAACAAATTAATGAGAAGACCAAATGTAACACATCCATGTGATAATAAAAATGAGTCATGGAACTTGGGAGTGGACAGGACCTTAAATGTCTTGTCTACTCTCTTCATGTGATAAATAAGGAAACCAAGCCCAAAAGCAGTGACATGACTTGCTTGTAGCAAGCTGATGGGAAATTTGAAAAAGGACTCAGGTCTCTTAACTCCCAGGTGCGAACTTTCCCCATCACACACACACAGCCATTATTCTTCACCTTCAAGAGCTAGTTTCTCAACCTCAGCACTATTGACATTTTGGGCTGGATAAATCTTTGTTGTGGGGGCTGTCCCATGCATTATAGGATGTTTAGCAGCATACCTGGGCTCCACCCACTAGATGCCAGTAGCACCTGCCCCTCCCCTATTGTGACAACCAAAAATGTCTCCAAAACCCGTTGCCATCAAGTCACTTCTGACTCATAGTGACCTTATGTCTCCAGACACTGCCAAATGTTCCCCAGAGGGCATAACTGCTCCTCCTTGAGAACCACTGTTCTTTCTAGAGATTAGGTATCTCTTACCCTTTTTACCATATTAATTTAATTCTCATTTTCAACTTGAAAATAAAGAGTGATCAAGACAAATCATTAAAAGACTGGAAGAGAAAAAATACATAGTTATATATTCAAACCATTGTACAGGAACCGTCCTTTTAGGAACCACCTAGAAAGATAATTCACCTCTCTGTATATATATTGGAAACCCTGGTGGCATAGTTGTTAAGAGCTACGGCTGCTAACAAAAACACTGGCAGTTCAAATCCACCAGGCGCTCCTTGGAAATCGTATGGGGCAGTCCTGCTCTGTCCTATAGGGTCACTAGAGTTGGAATTGACATGATGACAATGAGTTTGGTTTTTTGGGGGGTTTTGTATAAAGGTAAACTTGGCTATGAGCACTATCATAAAATCTGCTACCACATAAATTTTATCTTAGCACAGGGCCCAACTTCCAACACTTTTGAAAGAGAGAGCAGAGTTTTATTAAGGTTCAACAGGAAATAAAACCATATGATAATTAACCAAATTACTTGAAACCAAGAAACTACTTAAATAAACATATTATATTTATTTGTCTATTGCAACTTATTAAAAGTTGAAAGCGCAAAGAAGAGTGGTTTATGAGCCTTTATTCAAACAGAAATTATCTCTTTAAATTCTAAGACCAGTTAGAAGGCCACTGGTTTTGCTTGTCTAATTTAGTAGCATGCCTCCTACTGGAGCAACTTACAAAAGCTTTATCATCACCATTAGAGAGAAGACTAATAACGACCATCAATTCCCTCTCATCTTACAAGACTAGGCAAGTATGTGTGGTAATAGCTCCATTTGGCCTTGTGACACCCTGAAGGAGGGGTTGTAAGAAAAGAGTTTGAGGAATAAATGGAACTATCAACCCATCAGCAAACACATCATTGTAACAGTGTGCAGCACATTTATAGCTTCCTAACAAGACAGAGCTTTTCACTATACATTTCCAGGTTTGCTGTGACTCTGGTTTAGGACTAATGAAAGTTTCAGTGTCATTTGAGGTTTGAAATACCAAGCCTGCCCGATGTAACTAGTTACCCCAAGTGTGTCAGAGTAGAACTGTGCTCCATAGGGTTTTCAATGGCTAATTTTTTGGAAATAAATCACCAGGCCTTTCTTTCAAGGTGTCCGTGGGTAGACACAAACCTCTAACCCTTTGGTTAGGACTCAAGCGTGTTAACTGTTCGTACCACCCAAGGACTCCCTATCCTATCTCGGCTGACTGAAAATAACCTCCAAGACGTAATCCACCAAAACATTTCTTTCCAGGCAGGGTTTTTTTTTTTTTTTTTTTTTTTCTTTTGAGGAGCCTGAGTGACATATAAGCGGTTTGCAACTGGTTGGTAGCCTAAAGGTTTGTGGTTCAAACCCACCCAGTGGCATTGCAGAAGAAAAGGGCTGGTGATGTACTTCTGTAAAGATTACAGCCAAGAAAACCTGCGGCAGTTCTCTGTAACACCCGGGGTCACCATAAGTCAGAATCGATTTGATGGCAAAGGGTTATTTTTTTTTTTCAAAAGGTAAAAAATTCCTAGAAAAGGCAATATATGAATATAATTCATATTAATTTGCTAGTAACATCACAAGCCTACTTCCTTAAGTAGCAGGTGAGCCTCAAAGACTTCTAAGGGAGGGGAGACAAATCGCCCCTAAAAGGCAAATAAAGGCCCCAAGTTTTCTTAAAATGCAAATCTGCTCAAAGTAAGACCAACTATTGTAACTTGAACCATTCTTGGTTCTCTTACTTCATTTAAATGTGAAGGAAACTGTCGCATGGGCATATTCTAGCTCCTGTTTCTGCATATCTGCTGTTGTTTACTGCAGCTACTCTCGTCTGTAGAAAGGAGCTGCAATAATACTGCAGGACCTTTACTTACTTTATGTCTTCCCCATAGCAGATCGTGGTGTCTTCAGTCAGAAGTTCACAAGCAAATCCGATATTTTCAGCAGTTTCTACAACAGAATAAAATTAAGTCAAAAGTCTTTCCTACTGTAGAATTGAATAATTGACTTTATCTAGGAATGATTTTTTTTTCCAATTAATGAATATAACCAGATTTGACCAAATACATTGTTTTTCCTATAGTAACGTACAGAAACCACATTAAAAAAAAAAAAAAAAAAACCTTTCTGTAATAAAATAAGTGAAAGTTAAATTCTGGTATGAGATGTTAAAGTAATAAAATGTGCTGTATTATCAAATAAGGTGTGGTGCAGCAGTTAAGCGCTCAGCAGATCGAACCCACTATCCACTCCATAGGAAAAAGATGCAGCAGTCTGCTTCCATACAGATTACAGTGCTGGAAATCCTACCGGGCAGCTCTACTTTGTCCTATAGGGTCACTTTGAGTCAGAGTTGACTCTATGGCAATGAGTTTGTTTTGTTTTGTTTTGTTTTTTAATATTATCAAATACATATATTGATTATTTAATAAATCAATGTTCATTGAGGTACTAAATGCACTTAGCTCATGTTGTTAAACCACTGTCATGCTAAAAAAAAAAAATTTATATGAAGACTTTCTCTCTTTTTCCATTACCACTCAAATGGTATTTGTTTAAAGTCAGAGCTATGTTTCCTTCAGCTTCTCAGAGTGTGTCACCCATTGATGACATCAGACAGAGCAAGAGAAATCATCTGGTTTCCCCTGAGAAGCTTTCAGAGTAAAGTACAACATCCAACAACTACATGTTGAACTTTCAATTTACAAATTTGAAGTATCAAGTTTTAATTAAAAATTTCAAGGCAAAAAAACCAAAAGTTCTTCAGCACTTAGTATCGTTTCACTTCATGTCCAACAAATGGCAAAGTGTGGGGGGGACAAAAGGGTTGGGAGCCCACCTCTGGCTGGAGAGAGGAGATTAATCACAAGTCAGGGACATAACCAGGAGCTGAATTATAAGGAGTAAGCTCTGCTGCTGGGGAAGTTCAGGGGGGAGGATGCACTTAGGGTGGGCTGGGATAACTGAGTGGGGCTCTTTAGGGAAACCATCTCCATCCCCAATGGATAGGGTGTGAACTGGATGGAAAGTCTGAGAAGGTCCTCTCAGGCAAGGTAAACAGCAGGTGTAAGTATTTGTGAATTAGCAGAGACACTTCCCTACACAATCAATTACCCTTTTTGTCTCCAGTAAGCACCCAGATCTTAATGTCTGCTTTTGCCAGTTTTGAAATGGTTTCCGGAACTCCATCCTGAAGCTTGTCTTCAATAGCTGTAGCCCCCAACAGCTGGAATACACATTGAAAAAAAGGAATTAAAAGCCAGAAATTTCCTGTCATTGCTGTTTGCCAACCTGTAAACAAAAGAAGGGTTAATTATACACCTCAGTTAATGCTCTCCTGGAGCCAAAGGCCAGCATTAACAGGGAAGGCTGCGGTGTTGCATCCTCACTGCAAACCAAACAGCTGAAAGATTTTCTCTTAAAGTATGAACTATTTCGTTTACCAAGGCAAAAACCCAAGTACAAAATCAAGGACAATAAAAATGTACTTTCAGGTGCATATGCTGGTATACGCAGACGTAAGCCAGTTCCTCTTGTTAATGGCCAGTGCTAGCGACTTGTCGAACACGTTCCATTAATCTAAACTCCACAAGCAATAAGTATCATAATTTTGGAAAATTTCACTTAGAAATGGTAGATTTTTCTTGTTTCAAGGTTTGGCAAAGTATAAATGTAAATCATTACAGCCATTCCCACAATGTCATAAGTATATTCTGGCTGGTAACTGTAAAAATCATAATGAATTTTAACATAATATAAATATAAAAATAATGGAATTGGACTAGACCTTCTCCTACTGTTTTCTGTTTTTTTTTTTTTTTTGGTTTCTCATAATGGCATGGAAGCAGCAGTCAAGAAATCAAATGACGTGCTGCACTGGGCAAACCTGCGGCAAAAGACCTCTTTAAAATGTTAAAAAGCAAAGATGTCTCTTTGAGGATTACAGTGTGCCTGATCCAAGCCATAGTCTTTTCAATTGCCTCAGATGCATGCAAAAGTTGGACAATGAAAAAGGAAGACCAGAAAAGAATTGATGCATTTGAATTTTGGTGTTGGTGAAGAATACTGGATATACCAAGGACTGCCAGAAAAACGAGCAAATCTGTCTTGGAAGAAGTATAGTCAGGACACTCCTTTGAAGTGAGGATAGCAAGACTTCTTCTCACCTACTTTGGACATGTTATTAGGAGGGACCAATCCCTGGAGAAGGACATCATGCTTGGCAAAGTAGAAGGTCAGTGAAAAACAGGAAGACCTTCAACGAAATGGAATGACACAGTGCCTGCAACAATGGGCTCAAACACATCTACTATTGTGAGGATGGTGCAGGATAGGGCAATGTTTCATTCTGTTATACATAGGGTCGCTATGAGTCAGAATCAACTTGATCACACCTAACAACACAATGGCAATACTTCTACTTTGCTTGCTAGAGAAATGAAATTCAAATGATCTAGTTCCATCGTACCAGTTTCAAATACTGAAATTAGAATTACTTATCAAGCATGAGATCAAAAAATAAGATAGTAAACTTTCCAATTCTGTTTAGAATATCAACGGAAAAGTTATTAAGACTAAAACTCACTATTAAGTCTTTTTCAATCTCCTCATACACTTTATCTAGAGCTTCATCCCGGTTGGCTGAGGCCACGCTGGCAGCCATAAACTTTTTATTCCATTCTGCAAATTCTTTTTCTTCAATCTCCTTGTAGCAAAGGCACAGGGTCCTCAGAGTCTCATTTGCAAACATCTGTTTTATTTAAAAGACAAGCCACCAATCAAAAAAAAAAAGAAGAATTTTCAGCAATTCAAGGTAAGTCTGAAATCTTACTTTGAATTAATACTCAATTAATGTAGTATTAATACTTAATACTACATTTGAATTAATACCATGAAATATGATGAATGCTGTATATTCTATAGAGGAGATTAAACTTCACTTTATAAGAGACTTTGTTTTTCTAAGTATTCTTAGGGTCCTAGGACTGTACTACTATTTCCCAATTAGTTAAAAGGAAAGTATATCTTTCCTCTGAATCAAGTTACTAGAGTGAGGAAAAGCTTTTCCTTTTAATGACTAAGAACATAATAGATGAAGACAGCTACCTTGGGGCACAAAGAGTTTTGTAAACACAGACCTGACAACTTTATAAATCTGTGCCTACAAACTGTTACAGTCCAATCAACTGTGAACTTTCAACCAAGCCTTAGTCTCTACGATCAATTCTCAAACACATGAACCTACTGCCATCGAATATATTCCAACTCATAGTGACCCTACAGGTCAGAGTAGAACTGCCCCATAGAGTTTCCAAGGAGCAGCTGGTGGATTCGAACTGCCAACCTTTTGCTTAGCAGACAAGCTCTTAATCACTGTGCCACCAGGGCTCCTCAAACACATGAGCCACTATTAAAACTGAAATAAAACATTTAAATAAAAAAGAGTACCTGGAATATTTCTCATGGTAAAAAGATTTAAACCATTTTTAAATAGCTTAAATATGAACCAGTAAAAATGTTTTATTATTTCATAGTCACATTTTGTCTTTTTAAGAGAAAAGAATTGGTTCACCCAATTGAGCATTCACTTTCAAAGAGTTTTTAGAAGGTTCTACATTCATTTAATTAGATCGCCATTGTTCACATCCTCATGAGAACTCATCCATTTTAACTGCTTTAGCATCAGTCTTAAAATGTGACCCCACTTGATTAAACAACATATTCATTAGGCCTCTCTCTAAAGGACCATTGACTGGTTCTAAAACTCAATCTGTCACATCCTTAAAGTAAAGGGAAGAAATTACCCTTTGTTAAGCACCTCCTGCTGGGAACTGTGCAAGATGCTTTCCTTTGCAACCACCCTTCATGATAGAACTATCCCCCCATTCTTTCATGTTAGGAATTAATGATTCATATCATATAAATAAGCAAACAAACTCACCTGCTGCTGTTGTTGAGTTGATTCCGACTCATAGCAACCCTATAAGATAGAGTAGAACTGCCCCATAGGGTTTCCAAGGAGCAGCTGGTGGGATTCAAACTGCCTACCTCTTGGTTAGCAGGCGATTAGCAGCCAAGCTCTTAACCACTGTGCTACCAGGGCTCCATATGATATATCAACCACTTTTTCCAATCACACAAAACTAGTAAAGAAGCACACATGGGACTCCAGATCTGACTGATCTCTACCATACCTCACTGCCATCATTTTATAGAACCAAAACAATTAAAGATTGGTAAGCAATTCCAAAAGTGAAAGTTCCAGAAACATTCTGAGTAATCGAAACATCACTAGACTAAGTATACAGTCTCCTAAGGTAACTAGTTACAGTAGTGAAGACTAAACTGATTTACCAACAAAGGTATCAGAACTCAATTATCTAATGCATTGCTTTGTCATTACACGTCATATATGAATGCTTTCTTCCCTTGGTCTGGTGTGCTTGGTATGGTAAAGTAGCTCACTCAAGGTACTGGAGGAGAGGCATGCCACTCCTCTGGGTGAGTCCTCCAGCCTCTGCAGACATGGACGCTGGGAAAGGGCAGGCACCACAGCCATTTCCCAGGAAGTCAGAGCAGGGCAGAACTGGAACCCAGCCTGCCATTCCCACTTTGGTGCTCCTTCCACCCACTACACCCAGGCAAGGGAGGGGCTGGCACTTAACATACAGCTTTCCCTCAAGGTTGAAAGATAGTACTACAAAGTAAGTTTACAATCTTTGGCACGAAGAGTGAGCATGACACTTACATCCAGGGCATCCTGTGTCTCTTGCTTTGTAGGATTCATCCGATGTAACCTTTCATAAATTACAGTGTCAGCACCTTTACAATAAAGCCTGATAGTGCCTTCTGGGGTTCTTACTGGAAGGAAAAGCAAATA